CGTGCGTGCGAGAGAGTGTCTGTAAGAGTGTGAGTGTAAGTGTGAGTTTTGTGTTTCTGCCCTTGCCATTCCTGCACAAGGTTGTAGCACTTTAATTCATAAATGTGATCTAACAAAGGTAAAAGGCAAATTTTGACCATATATGCTGTTTATATTGCTTGTAATTGGGATGAAGTCAGCATCTATTGAGTATTTTAACATATAATTTTTGATTGTGTTGAATTAAAAACCCAAAACTGCAGCGGGTCCACCAGACCCACGAACACTTGGCTGAGTAACAAAAATATGAACACCATACAAGTGTTAAGGTAAGAATGCAATACATATCATATTATTGATATTAATAATATGACGATATCTGTAGTCAGTATTGATTAAATTGGAGGGGGGATCCTGCCCATACCGCAGCTAGGGAAAAAAAATGATAAAAGCACTTATGTTCATCTACTGAATTGGTATACTGGAACTGTGAATTAATTGAATAAAACAGCAAAATAATAACAACAGCAACAATAACATCTTCATCAAGTAAAAAAGAGATTACCTTAGATAAAGTTTGATTAGTATACAGTACCAGTCAAAAGTTTGGACCCATTACTATTTTCAATTGTTTTTGAGAGAAATTTCTTATGCTCATCAAGCCTGCATTTATTTGATCAAAAATACAGAAAAAAAAAGTAATATTCAGCAAGGATGTGTTAAATAGATAAAAAGTGATAGTTAGAGTGATTGCAATTTATTCTAAATATGAACTTGTTCTGTCGATCAGCGTCATTTCTGGAAAGATCATTCACCGCTTTATTAGGAGTTTTAAAAAGCGCGAGCGCCGTTGACGCGCCCAGATGCCATGCTTTGAATTTGTGCGTACATTGAATGACATCGCGTCGGGAGCTGACTATCAAAATAGCTACAAAAGTAAAAGCAGATAAGTTTGTATTCAAAGTTAAAAAGCAAACACACTAGAACTTTTTTTTTTAATGTTTCAAATAAAGGATCTCAGATGTGTACATTACTGCTCTAACATAACACTTATAATTTCAGTTTCAACTAACTAGAAAATAACTTTTTTTCTGCTTAATAGTCTCTCTTCCACTTGATTTGTGTGTGTGCGTGTGCGTGTGTGTGTGTGTATCATATTGAAGGTAACAATGCAATACATAATATCATATATTATTGATATTAATAATATGACAATATCTGTAGTGAATATTGATTAAAATGGAGGGGGAAATCCTGCCCATACCCAACAACAATAACATCTTCATCAAACAAAAAAAGAGATTACCTTAGATAAAGTTTGATTAATATGTACATACAGTACCAGTCAAAAGTTTGGACCCATTGCTATTTTTAATATTAATATTCAGCAAGGATGTGTTAAATAGACAAAAAGTGATAGTAAAGACATATTGTTATACAATATACAAAAAAATTATAAAAGATAATCAACAAATCCTGAAAAAAGTATCACAGGTTATAAAATAAACATTTATTGATAATAATTCAGCATATTAGAATGATTTATGTAGGATCATGTGACACTGAAGACTGGAGTTATGGCTGATGAAAATTCAGCTTTGATCACAGAAATATATTTTAAAGTATAGTAAAATAGAAAACCATTATTTTAAATTGTAATAATATTT